TTGTAATTTGTTCTCAAGTTTAAGTAAATACAATTTAATACAGTCATCAAATAAAAGTACTAATAAATATTTTTGTTCATCTTTTTTATCTATGAGAACTTGGAGAGGATTCTCAATCTCCACACATGTTAAATTTCTGGCCAATAGAGCCATTATATAACTGTAAAATTATTTTTATTTTGGATAATTTAAAAAATATAATGAGTATCAATATATGGATTTACTGCCTTTTGACATAAGACACAGGGCTAAAGGATTTGGAGCTTGCCCTGCTGGGTTTCAGTCTTTTTGTTAATCTGGCATTTCCTCATTGTAGCCCCATTCCTGCCTTTAGAAATGACAACATATATTCTATGCCATTGTATATTAGAAGTATATAGTTTGCTTTATGATGTTACAAAGGGTTATAATTAAGAGATTGACTTGAGTCTCAGAAGAGATTTTGGACTCCTTTATTGTGTTGAGACTTTAAAGTCAGTAGGCACTTTTGATGTTGAACTAAATGCATTTTGAATTATGGTATGGTCACAAGCTTATGGGGATCAGGAACGGAATATAGTTTGAAAAAGAATAGACCTTTTAGGCTCATATGTTTGATTACCTTGTTCTCAGTTGGTGAAACTGTTTGGGAAGGATTAGGAGGTGTGACCTTGTTGGAGAAGGTGTATCACTGGGTGTGGGTTTTGAGGTTTCAAAAGACTTGCATCATAACTAGTCTTTCTATTCATGCCTCCATATTGTTGAACAAGATGTAAGCTCTCATCTACCTTTCTAGCATTGTGCCTTCTTGCCTGCTGCCATGCTCCCTGACATGATGCTCACAAACTCCAGTGCTCTGAAATCTAAGTATGAAGTACATTCTTTCTTATATAAGTTAGTCATATTGTTTTATCATAGCATAGTGCAAGAACTAAGAATTATTTGTGTGTGTGTGTGTGTGTGTCTACATCAATTTTCAATTGAGAAAAATAACTGGAAGGCACATTCATTCATACTCACTTTTGGCCATATGAAGAAAATATGTTTAAGAAGTTACAAGCAGAAATGTTTTCTGAGGTAATGTCTATATTCTCCATTGGATGTCATTTTCTTTAGCTAGACTAGCACTTTGAACATTTGCTAGTGCACTCTGGCCAAACTTTTATTTTAGAGTTTAAATTTAAAGTGTAATTTGAAAATGAAGTGAAAAAAGTTTCAGATGTTTCAAAGTCAAAATTAAATAATTATCAACCAATGTTTAAAAAAAGCTCACATCATTTATATTAAAAATCAATAACTTAACACTGTTAATTTTACACTGAACTCCTAATAAAAATAAGTGATGTCAGGTTCACTGTGTTACTGTTAAGTGAGAAGTAGACACACAGCACAGAACCACTTTCACACATATCTTTCTTATATTCTATTACACATCTATTAAATTAATGTGTCATGGTGTAAGGACCCATGAAGGGGACCCCCAACTCAAGTCCCGATCAGCGCGCACCCAAGGAGACACGAGAGACTGACTTGATGCAAATGGCAAAAGGCAGTGTACTAATGAGGGCCCTTGGATCAAACTCATCCCACACAGGGGAGAGAATCGACGAAGACCCCAGAAAGTTTGGGGCTTTTGTAGGGAACAGTGTAAGGGGGAAGGGAAAAGCGGGAAATTCTGACGCGGTTACATATAATTGGATATTTCAAACATCAGCACTTTGCGTAAGCACTCATTTTGACAGGCTGGATGGCCCACTATTTTTGACCATGAAACCTCAGACCTTCTAGGATAAACACCAGGTGGCCCATTACTCACTTGTGCATGTTTAGACTGGTCAAGATATGTCTTTGATTGTTTCTGTATTTTTGGTCACCTTGTCCCTAGAGGGGCTTGATATTTTTATTATGGCTATTCTCAGCAAGCTCAGCAAGCCATCTGGCGGTCATTGCCAAGTTGTTTTTAATTTTTACTCTCACAATGGGACCCACGGCTCCAGCTGCATATGTAGCAGAGGATAGCCTTGTTGGACATCAATGGGAGGAGAGGCCCTTAGTCCTGGAAAGGATCAATGCCCCAGTGTAGGGAAATGCCAGGGTGGGGAGGTGGGAGTGGGTGGGTGGGTGAGCACCCTCATAGAAGCAGGGGAATGGGATAGGAGGTTTCATGAGGGGAAATCAGGAAAGAGGATAACATTTGAAATGTAAATAAATAAAATATCCAATAAAAATATATAAAAAATTAATGGGTCATATTATAGTTTCAGGATCTTTTTTTTTCTAGATCCATTTATTTATCTTCAAATTTCATAATTCAATTTTTAACAGCTGCATACCATTCTATTGTATAAATATGTCATATTTTTATTATTTATCCAACCACTGATGGACATCTAAGCTGTCTGAAATATCATAAGCAATAGTTAGTTGATTAAGTGGGATGAGTGTTCCGTGATGAAGGGTAAATTCCAAAAAAAGAATAAATTATGGAGATAAACTTATGACGAGATTGAGGTTGGAGAGGGAGATGGGATGCAGACAGGAGCGTGATAACAAATGAGGTTGAACAGATAAGTGGAAGTAGGAAGCTAACTAATTCATTAATTGATGATTCTTGATCACTTATCCTGCAAGACATAGTTATGAACCCATAGTGATACCCTCTGCTTTGATGGGACTTATATTCTTTAATAACCATGGTTCTTTCATGGAAAGTGATCTTTATTAAAGGGGACATGCTCATTAATTGACTTTTATTAGACCATTCTCTTGGCTATGTGAGTTAACATTTGAAGGGGAGAAATTGAGGACTGAGAGATTAGGTGAATATTTATGTATCAATGAGATACATGAGAAGAACTGTATGGGGAGGGACTAGAAGCAAAGAAGGAAAGGAGAAAGAAGCACTAAGATGATGACATTTGGCTGAATTTGTGAACCTTGATGACCAACGGGCCTGGGATAGAGGAGAAAATAAAATTTAGTAGGCTTGAGGGTTTCTGCCTTTGTGAGAGCAATGCTTTCACTGATTTTAGCCCATGTCTGGCACTTCTAAAGAGCCTACAAGTAGAGAAAGGTCTCACATGTGGTGTTCTTAGAATTGAAGTGAGCGGAGGAACAGATGGGTTCTGGAAAATGATTTATCAATCTGAGTGATGGTTCAGCATTTGGCCTGGCCTGTATTCATCCTAAATATGATTCCATGCCCATTGGACCTGTCTTATTCTTTCCTGTACTTTCTAAAGAGAGCAGATGGAATGAATGCTGTACCCAGGTGTTAAGTTGTAACAACTATCATGGGAGAGTATGAACATGAAAAGAAACACTGGCACTGTCTTAGTTAGAGTTTCCATTGCTGTCAAGAGACACCAGGACCAAGGCAACTCTTATAGGGACAACATTTAATTGGTGTTGCCTTACTGGTACAGAGGTTCAGTCTATTATCATCAAAGCAGGAAGCATAGCAGCGTCCAGGCAGGTGTTGCACTGGAGGAGCTGAGATTTCTGCATCTTGTTCTGAAGGTAAACAGAATATGCTTCCAGGTAACTAGGAGGCAGATCTCCCAAACCCCACCCCCATAGGAATACACTTCCTCCAACAAGGCCACACCTCCCAGTAGCGCCACTACCTGGGCCAAGCGTATTCTAACCACCACTGGTACTGTTATTTAAAAACCAAGCAAACAAACAAACAAACAAACAAACAAAAAAAACCAAACCAACCCCCCCAAAAACAAACAAACAAAAAACCCAAAAAACAAACAATAAAACAAAATAAAACCCCAAACTAAACAAAACCCTTTTTCCTTAACCTAAGTAAGGTGGGGGACCTTTCATTATCCAGAAATATCTCATTTCTTATTGAGTATAAATAAGGGTAGTCACTCTTGCCAGACAGCTACTTGGGCCCAACTTTTAGAGATGATTTCCCAAATGGCTTCTCCAGGTTGCCTCATCAGAAACAGTTACCATAGTATCATATTTTTGCCAGACAAAGGAGGGCTCCAAATCAGAAAAGTAGATTCATCAGATAGATCACTCAGGAAACAATGGGATAGACAGGATGTTGATTTTCCAACTATTTTACCATTAGAGAAAAAATAACATGTCATGAAAAATCAGATAGCTTATGTGGGAAGGTAGAAGATGGGTTTTTTTTGGGCTGGGGATATACCTCAATGGTTGAGCACTGGCTTAGTGTAGATGGCGTTCTGTACTCAATCCTAACAAGTAAACAAACAAAACCAGATATTTACAATGTGCCAGAAGAGTGAGCAAGGCTGAGGAAAGGAGAATAGTGTATAAAATTAAGATCTGTAGGGCAAATAAGAAATTGAATCATATATATGTATATGTGTACATGTGTATATATATGTATAGATGTATGTATGTATAGATATATGTATGTATGCATATATGTATGTATACATGCACATATATCTTTGGCGAGATAGTGAGATACGCACATAAAATTGGTCATGTACAGGCTTGAGTGAGACATGTCCCCTGATCTCAAGTATCTGAATACTTGGTCCCCAGATGGTGACAATATTTGAAGAGACTTAGTAGATGTTGAATGAAATATGCAGCAAGATCGGCTTTGAGAGCGTACTGCCTCACCCCACTCCCAGCTAGTTTTCTCTCTTCATGGTCATGGTTGAGATGTGAACTCTGAATTCTCAGCAGCTCCAGCTTCCATGCCTGCTACCTGCTGCGATACTGGTTCTGCCACACTAGCCCTATCATTCTTGAGCTAAAAACACACATAAACTTTCTTTTTATGTAAGTTGCCTTATGGTGTTTTATCATAGCAACAGAAAAGTAATGAATACATGTAGTGTTTAGAATAATTAAATTTAACAACTTGGACAAAATTTTCAAATAGCTATAGGTCAAGCTCTGAGGTTTGCTGGATCACAGCAACACTGCAAATGTCTGACCTGTTCTGTGCACAAGAGTTTGGATAGCCAGTAATACATGTGAACACACTTTACAAAACTGTAAAGCTGTGTACACCCCTGCATTTTATTATTGTTTTGAGAACTTAAGTTTATAGAATTATATCCGTGTTTCCTACAGTTGCATATGAGTACTTTTTCCTCTAGAGAAAAGAAAGTCTTTTTTTGTATGCCGCTGGTACCCCAGCCACTTCCTGCCATTTTGCACAGATGCTGAGATCTGAGGTTTCTGTTAGCCCGTCTCTGTTGCCTGTATCACTGTGGCGCTCCATGAGTGCACAGAAATATATCGCAGCATCCCCCAGCTGCGAGTCTGAGATCTCAAGGCTGAAGGACTTAGCTGCTTTCTGGAAGTTCACAGAGAAGCGATTCTCTGTTGCATTATGTTGCTTGTAAGCTTCTTGTCGAATAACGAGAGTCACCCGTCCTCCTTGCTGTTTGTACCAGAATAAGTAGTAATTAGTGTCACTCGTGTCATAGGTGCAGTCCAGGGTTATGGACTCTGTCTCCTGCACAGACTTTTCCTGCTGAGGCTGAGAGACTGTCTGAGCCATGCTGGCTCCTGTGGAAAAGAAAAGCGAAATGACTCCATTGTGGCTTCTGTCAGAGAAACAAACTCTCAGTCTGGTTCCCACCCTCATCTGCCTTTCCTCTTGATTTCAGTGCCAGGCAGAGGATACTAGACTTAGCTTCCTGTAAGCTGGGTCCAGCGATGCTGCTCTCAGAACCCAGTGCTGTTAATCCCCCCCCCTCCCCCGATTTCCCATTCCTAATGAATTCTTGTAAAAGCAAATGTCTTTGCCTTCTTACCAAGAGAAGTGGAAACCAAGAGCATCCACAGCAAGCGCGTCCATGCCATACTGGAAGCTAGCTTCAGATTCAGTCCTTGCTCTCAGCTGCCCTGGCACCATCACACCTTCAAAACAGGAAATGGTAAGCCAAGTGGGCTGTCAGTGGTGATATCTCGCTTAGAAAACGTGTCAAGGTGTTTATCTTTCTCTTCAGAGAATAAATCTTTCTCAAGTTAAAAAAAAGATACAGTCAGAACCAAATATTGTCTGGGGGTAAAATAGAAAAGAAGAAAGTGATAATTGCTTTTAATAGAGACAAAGCTTGAAAGGAAAGGCCATGTGTGGTGCTGCATGTCTTTAATCCTAGCATTTGGGAGGCAGAGGCAGGTAGGTGTATCTCTGTGAGTTCAAGGCCATCCTGGTCAACAGAGTAGATTCCAGGACAGCCAGGGCTATGTAGAAAGACCTTGTCTCAAAAAGCTAAAAAGAAAAACAATAACAACAACAACAACAACAAACAAACAAAAAGCCCAAAACAACAAAAACAAAACAAAAAAGACTGGAAAGCAAACCAGACAAACAAAAATTTGGAGTGGAGTGGGGGATGGGATAGATAATGAGAGGACAGTCAAGGCTGATGTAATGACTAAGTTTCATGTAATAAGTCTTCTTTTCTTCTCTCCCCATTCTCTTTTTTCTTTCCACCCCTTTTTCTGTCTGAAAAGTTGATATCATAAACTAGTCAGTAGGTTTTCAGAATATAGTATTGGTATAATTACTGTTCTTTGACTAATAATTTAAAAGAACCCAAACTTGCCGGGCAGTGGTGGCAAGCACCTTTAATCCCAGCACTCGGGAGGCAGAGGCAGGCAGATTTCTGAGTTCGAGGCCAGCCTGGTCTACAGAGTGAGTTCCAGGACAGCCAGGGCTACACAGAGAAACCCTGTCTCAAAAAAACCCACTCCCCCACAAAACAAAACCCAAACTTGTATGATATATAAACGTGCACAGGTGCTATAGCACCTGTATAGAGGTCAGGGGGCATCTTTTGGAAGTTGCCTTTCACCTTATTCTGAGGCAGGATTTTCTCACTATTTCTGCTGCTGTGCTGTATATGGCGATCCTAGTCGTTCTCCTGCCTGCATCTTGCCTTACGAACACAGGGATTTCAGATACATTTTACTGCATCTAGCTTCTTATGTGAGTTTGGGGGACGAGCTCAGGTCCTGATTATACAGCAAGTGCTTTTGCAATTGAGTCATCTATCTCCTCAGGCTCCTGATCAATAGTGTTTTGTTGGATTGAGACATGATTAAAATAATTCTGACAGTGACAGTGTTCAGATAATGCAGATAATTTGAACCAAGAATTTAGATTCTAATTGCATTGTTATTTACTGAAGATGTTTTTCCTTTTGGTGACAAATACCTGGGTTTGGCTATGTCAAGGACCTTTACCATACTGGTGGGAGACATCGTTGTAAAGAGTTTTGTGAATGTTTCATAATGATTTTGTGGCAGAAAAAAAAAAACAGAACAGAATAGCATAGTTTATCTGAGAACATTCTTTACCGCACATCTGACAGCTTGTCATCAGCATTTTGTTGTTCTTTATATGTAATTTTTTTTCTATAAGAGAGGAAAGGGCACAAATTACAGTACTTATTTTATAATGAGGCACCTGAGCAAAAATAAAAACCCACAATGCAGAGAACCGTGAATCTCATTTACATGAATTTTCTCTGCCTACAGAATCTGTGTCACCCTGTCTTAGTCAAGGCCACCTGTACAGTGTCAGGGTTTCTATAAATGCATTTCCCCTCTAAAAATCTAGAAAGGGAATAGAAGATCACATTAAAAGCCATGGGGAGAGGTGTCTCTAATTCTCTGTCCTGCTTGTTATTTCCATTTGGAAATCTTGGTACATTGTGGATTTTTTTTTTTTTAAATAGAGATGTTTTCAACTCGAGAGGACTTCCTAAAACATACTTTTGTCCGATTTACTATTTATGGCTGAAGCCACAGGAAATTTTTAGACATGTTAAGGGTCTACAGTTTCCTTTTGCCTGTCCATCCTCTTATAGGAACCTCGAGGTGATGGGGCTGCCTTCACTCCCAACCTCAGCCCTGTTCAAGGTGTGAGTTTACTAATGGGGGTCTCCAAGAGTGAAGATTTCCTGATTTGCTGTGTCTGTCAGGTCTCAAATTAGAAGCTCTGTTTAGTTCTTGACATCTCCTGGCCCACTGGGGCTAGCCAGAACTTTATAGAGTCTGATACTCACCATCCAATCACTTCCTAGTAAAGTTATGGAACTCTGAAGATTCAATAAGATGATGCATGCAATCAAATCTTCAAGTGGGTAAATGGAATGTGAGGACAGGTAAACCAGTGTGTGAGCTTGGCTAAGCAATCCCACAAGGCAACTCTGGTCACAAGGTTTCTCCCCAGAGTTAGACATAACACTTGAGAAATACCCCATGAATATCACATACCCACTGCCATGCTTTTATGAGAACTACAGGTGCAGAGGGCTGGCACAGAGAGATGCCAGTGGCACAGGTAGTGTAATACCCATTTCTTCATTGCAAAAGGTCTTTCTTTCTGTGTGTCTGCAGCATATATGTCTTTCTTTCTTTTTTTATTTTTCTAATTTTAATATTTTTATTCACTTTACATTCTGATCACAGCCCCCTCCTACTGTCTTCCCAGTAACTCCCTTACAAATCCCTTCCCTCATTGCCCTCACCCCTCTCCCCAGAGAAGGGGAGACCCCCACCTTGGGTAACAACCCACCATGGGGCATCTAGTCCCAGCAGGTCTAGTCACATCCTCCCCAACTGAGGCCCATCCAGGTAGTCTAAGTTGGTGGCAGGGGGATCCAACGGCAGGGAACAGAGACTGAGACAGCCCCGACTCCACTTGTTAAGGGAACTTCATGAACACCAAGCTGCACATCTATTATAAGTGTGTAGGGGGCCTAGGTTCAGCTCCTGCATGCTCTCTGGTTGGTGGTCCAGGCTTTGTGAGCCCCCATGTCCCAGGTTAGTTGACTCTGTGGGTCTTCTTGTGGTGTCCTTGACTCCTCTAGCTTGCTCACTTCTATCCCCTACTCTTCCACAAGACTCCCTGGGTTCCACCTGATGTCTGGCTGTGAGTCTCTGCATCTGCCTCTATCTGCTACTGCATAAAGCCTCTCAGGAGACAGCTATGCTAGGTTCCTCTCTGCAAGCATGACAGAGTATCACGGACAGTGTCAGGGATTGGCTCTTCTCACACGAAATGAGTCTCAAGTTGGGGCTATAAACTGGTTGGCTGTTCCCTCAGTCTTTGTTCTATCTTTATTGCTGTGCATTTTGTAGGCAGGACAAATTTTGGGTTGAAGGTTTTGTGGGTGGATTGTTGTCCCCCTCCCTCCTCTGGAAGTCCTGTCTGGTTATAGGAGATGGCTATTTCAGTCTCTATATCTCCCTCTAGAAGGACTTTAGGCTAGGGTCACTCCCATAGAATCCCCATATTCTCTCCAGGCTTCCAGCTAGTCACCAGAGATGCCCCTGACAATAATTTCCATTCTCACTCCCAGCCCTCTCCCACGCCCCCTCACCACACCTGATTGCCATCCCAGTTTCCCTCCTTACCCCCCTCTCCTACCCAGTTCCCTCTCTCCATCCACCTCCAATGACTATTTTGTTTCCTCTTCTGAGTGAGATTTGTACATCCTCCCTTGGGACCACTTACTACCTTGTTTCTTTGAGTCTGTGGATTGTAGCAAGGTTGTCCTGTACTTTATGGCCAATGTCAACTTATAAGTGAGTACATACCATACATGTCTTTCTGGCTCTGCATTACCTCACTCAGGGTGATATTCTCAAGTTCTATCCATATGCCTGCAAAATTCTTGATGTCTTTTTAACAGATAGCTGAATAGTATTCTATTGTGTTGTCATACCACATTTTCTTGATCCATTCTTCAGTGGAGGGACCATATGTGTGTTTCTTAACCCAACAACTGTGTTTCTTCACCTGATGATCCCAACTGCTCCAGTTTGATGGGTCCCAGATTTCTTTACTGCTACCTGTTGAGCTCAAGATTTTCCTCTGCCTTTTAATTCTTTAACTGGCAGAGAAAACAGACCTGATTAAGCCAGCCGGATGGTAACAATCTCATGCTGCGTGTTCATATAATTTAATTTTCAGATGAAAATAAAGCAAACAAAACACTTTGAACAAGTTTTTCAAAAAGTTTTTATATCATTCACTATAGTATGTTACAATTTATCTTATCGGAGAAGGTAATAAAGACTATTTATTAAGCTCTGAGTAATACTTGGGCATCCTCCAGCAACATGATTTCTGCAGCGCAGATAGGTGATGCAGCCTCATGATGGTCAGGTCTTATGGAAAGGGGATGGTGGATTAGGTACTCCACTGTGGAGGGACAGCAACCCCACATAGTTCTGGACTACAAGGAGAGATCCAGCCTTGGGCCTGGGTCTGAACCACTGCTCAGAAAATTACAACTTGTCCCTTTGAATGTGGTCAGTTGGGAAGACTTGGAAGCTAATTTATTTCTGTAAATAAAAAAAGACCAGTTCTCAGCCCTGTATTTTCCTGACAAAATGAATCTTAGGCTCACATCTAGACCAAAGTTGCCAGGTCTTTGGCTTCTAGAAGCATCTCTGTCCTTTAGCCTTTTGAAATTTATTGAAAATTTAATTTTGGGGCAAACATTTGAATCCAGCTGTTCAGATACGGGAGGATTTGTATCAGTTTATTTTCCTGTGTGTGTGTGTGTGTGTGTATCATTGATCTAACTTTTTATAGCTCAACTTCTGCAGATAAGTTAGCAGTGCCCTCTTCAGGTTAAGAACATATCTACCCTGATCTTTGGAATTTACTTCTAAGAAAAAATTTGATTGCATCTGGAAATCTGTTTTAGAGCAGCAAGATGCCTCAGTGGGTGAAGGAGTCTGCTGCCAAGCCTGATGACTTGAGTTCAATCCCTGGGGGCCACATGTGGAAAAAAAAAGAACTGAATCCTGGAAATTTTTGTCTGGCATGCACTCTGTGATGTGTGCCTTTCTCATCACACAACACAGATTAAAAAAATAAATAAATGATTAAATAA